GTGTTCTTGTTGTTTGTCTTATTTCGTTTTAAGAATTCAGTTTGACATTGCTTTCATGACTTTTTGTTGCATCTCAGATTGGTGTTTTAGAGTTTTAGTTTGAATTTACTCATACTTTGGTTTGATTTCATCTTGTTGAACTCTAGATGTTTTAGATTTGATGCAATTCATTTACTTTGCATGTTCTCAGATTGGTTTTGAAAGTTTCAATTTGAACTTCCTTTGATGACCTCATGTTAGTTGGTGCTTGTCATATTGGTTGTGTTTTGTTTGGCTCTTATACTTCCACCAAGTTCAGGTTATTTATTTCAGTCCGTTTCATATCCATTTGCTTCAGAAGTTGCAGGTTCTTAACTAAAAATGTACATGATTGTTTGAAATAACCAGAGCAGTTACGACAAAGCAATGAAAGCTTATACGTCTAAAGAAATAAACAGAGCATACTTCTTTTGTGGAGAAAAACAGCGCATAACTTTTGAGAAAATCTGGACTTTGACTTCAGCTCTTAATCAACGAATGGCAGCTGGTGGTTGACGTAAGTTGCAGGTGCTTGTCCAACTATTTAAAAGGGCCATGGATGGATTGTTCGTCTTGGGTTGAGAAGAGAGACATGATACGTTGGGGCCGACCAGCATGGACAAACAAAATTGAAATCCACCACGGGTAAACCCATTTGGGCGCGGACCGGTCCATCTGACATCTCTAACTCCATCCATCCAATCAAAAAACCTATCAGAAGTTGGTAGATAGGCTCACTGTTTAGCTGATCCTCTACCAATATGGCATTTTCTCATTAGCTCTGATAAAATTGGTTCCAAGAGCTTGCTTGTTCATCAGTGTGGTATTTATTTCTCTCTATGTAAACTTAAATTCTACATTGTTTTCCTTTTATTTCTGTCAACGGCAAATAGGAGAAAATTTTGGTTTTCATTATTGTTCATTTGACCGATTGACTATGAATTAAACATTGCGTATATAATCTGTTACTTTGATTAAGAAAAACATTATTTAACATAATCTCCGATTTACTGTTAAACTGACGATTAGCAAAATGCGTCTTTAATTGTCCCATTGGTAGCTTAAGAAAAAGGGAAAATTCTTCTTTATAACCTAAAAGTTGATTTTTTCTCAATATGTAGACCTCTTATTGAATGTTTGGCAAAACTAACTCAAAAGGGTAGTGAAATTACAGCTCAGTCCTTTGTGACTAAACAAAAAACGTCTGCCACAGTTACGATTTTATCCTTCGAGAATTCTACGTAAGAAGTCTATAATCGTTGTATGTAGACTTACATAATTCGTTTTTTAAAAATTAATTAGAAAATATAAAATAAATAAATTTCTAAAAAATTAGTAAACATAAGTAAGACATATAAATTTGACATGTATAGAATACAAAATTTCATACAAATGAATCAACTTAAATGCAGAAAGAAAATTAACTAGAAAACATACAACCCTTTAGAAGTCTACTAAAGAAGTCTACTACAGAAAACATACGTATGCAGTAGACTTCTCGGGTAGACTTCTCCAGTAGACTTCTCTAGTAGACTTAAAAAAAACATAGCGGGAAATCAAAATTATTTAACAAATTGGGCGGGAATCGGAACAAATTAGGCGGGAATCAAAATCAAAAAAATATACCGAAGTAGACTTTTCGAGTAGACTTCTCCAGTAGACTTCTTAAGAAGTCTACTTAGCCGAAAATTTTCCTACATATATAAGGAGATTAACCTAATTGGGTTAAAAATAAAGTTTTTCTCTCCCTCTAAAAACGCCTCTCTCTCCTCTACCTCCTATCTGGCCATGAATCTCTTCTCCTTCCTCTCTTGCCATCAAACCCATCTCTATCCTCCATCCTCTCTATCTCAATTATGGTGATGGTAAGCAAATCTGTGGTTTTGTGTTTCTTTTGTTGTTTGTTTTGTGTTCATATTGTAAATCTGGGTTTATTAGTGCTTATTTGAGATTCTTATTGTGGATCTGAGTTTATTCTTGCAAATATGCGCTTCTTATGGTATAAATTTTGTAGAATTTGTTGTAGATCTGAATTTTTTGTTGTTGCAGATCTAATTTTTTTTTTTGTAGATCTGAATTTTTAGTTGTTGCAGATCTGATTTTGTTTATTTTGTTGCAGATCTGAATTTTGTTTATTTTGTTGCAGATCTATAATTTTTTTTTGTTGCATAGCTGATTTCTTTTTTTCGTTTTTGCTGCAGATATGATGTTTGTAAATATAGCAGATTTTGTTGAAATATGAATTTTAACATTTTTTTTTTCTTATTGTGCAGGCCTGAGCTTATTTATTTCTCTTTTGTTTTTGTTGGAAGTAGACTTCAGCTGCAGATGTCTCGAGTAGACTTCTCGAGCAGACTTCTCGAGCAGACTTCAGTCACATACATCTATTTCAGACATTTTGTTTTTATATGCTAAATTTAAGATTTATAATTAGTGATCCTTAAATATTTGTTTGATTAGAAGGTCTACTTTATATGTAAAGTTGGATTGTAATTAAAGTTATTTTTATATATTCTTAAATTATGTGTGTTTTATCATATTCAGATTTCATAGGCAGACTTCTTTGTCAGATTTAGTCATCACCATCTTTGAACCTCTAATAACACAAGAAAATTAATTCAATTTAACTATACAAAAACATGTAAAACTCATAACAAAAAAACATGTAAAACTACTTAAAAATACCACAACTAGTCTTTCTTCACACATTCTCAATACACAGTGGGTATGTGAACCATTCTCTGTAAGAAAACAAAATTCAAACCACAATAGAAATTATTGTCAAAAAAGTAGACTGCAAACGTAGTCTACTATTAGACTTCAAATGAAGTCTACAGACTATTAAGCTAAATACCAAATAAAAGAAGAAAATTAGTTAAAGCTCAACTGTAACAAAAAAAAATTCAAACTTATACATAAGCAATAACAATATATCACACACTTAAGAGTCAAATGATAAATTTTATCTGTTACAAATATCTGATCAATTAAATTTTAAAAAAATTAATATCGCAGACTGCAAACGAAATCTACTATGTAGACTTCAAGTGAAGTCTACGGACTAATAAACTAAATACCAATTAGAACAAAAAAATTAATTAAAGCTAAACTATAACAAATAAACATGTTAAACTCCTACATAAGTAAAAACAATAAATAATACACACTTAAGAGTCAAAGAATAAATTTTATTTGTTACAAATATCTGATCAATTAATAAAAAAAAAATTAATGTCACAGACTGCAAACGAAGTCTACAGACTAATAAGCTAAATACCAAATAAAACAAGAAACTTGATTTTACCAAATATATATAATATAAACATGTAAAACTGATACAAATGTAAGTACACTTACTAAAACAATCGTAAGACCAAAAAATCTTAATAATTCGTTGTAAATTTGATAAAAACGCGTTTATAAAAAAAGTGAAATAGTAGACTAACAACGAAGTTTACAACAGTAGACTTGTAATGAAGTCTACAAATGTAGACTTCGTATGAAGTCTATATTTTAGGTTACTTTTGCAATTGCCAAAAGATGAGTAGACTTCTTCAAAGAAGTCTACTCACTCCGAGAAGTCTACTCGAGAAGTCTACGTAAAAAAAGGTTAGTTTTGCAATTGACCAAACTTTGACTTTTTCGTAAGAAGTCTACTTGCAAAAGTAGACTTCTTCGGAGAAGTCTACTTTTAAAGTAGACTTCTTAGAGGTTAGTTTTGCAATTGACCAATGTTGACTTTTCAAAGTAGACTTCGTTTGAAGTCTACTTCAAAAGTAGACTTCAAACGAAGTCTACTTGAGTTAGTTTTGGGGTTGACCAAACATTGAATTTATTTTTGAGTAGACTTTTTTGAAGTCTACTCAGAAAGTAGACTTCAAAGGAAGTCTACTCGGAAAAGTAGACTTCAAGCGAAGTCTACTCGAAAAAGTCAACATTGGTCAATTGCAAAACTAACCTCTAAGAAGTCTACTTTCAAAGTAGACTTCTCCGAATAAGTCAACTTTTGCGAGTAGACTTCTTACGTAAAAGTCAAACGTTGGTTAATTGTAAAACTAACCCTTTTTTACGTAGACTTCTTTTGAAGTTTACACTATTTTTTTTGTTGTCAAAGGAAATGGCACAGACTTCAACTGAAGTCTACTGTCAGAAATTGGTACACCCGGTCAATTGCAAAACTAACTTGTGTGTTGACCAGCAGACTTCTTTTGAAGTCTACCACAGATCTGAAAACTCACGAAAATTTACTGAAAAATCACATACGAGTGGTATTTAACTGATTCAACCACCGATTTCTTTGATTCCAGCCACCACCAAACAAGCCCAAACGATTTGCCAGACCAAATCACCAAATATGGCAATATATTAAAACATCGAGTTTCAAAAATTAAGATTAGAGAGTTTTTGTGCTGAAAATGGTGAAAAAATAGAAGAATAGAAGGTTAAGAAAAGAAGAAATGAGATTACAAAGCTAAAAAATGGGTCTTTGAAGCAATAAAAGCTTCAAATTGGTTGAAAATTGTGGTTAAATGAATTGATGGTGATGGCATTTACGTGAATAAGTGAGGAAGAAGAGAAATGTTTGATAAAATAGATTTCCGAAATAATAATAAAAAAATAATAATCTAATTGTATTTTCGTAAATAAATAGAACTGATAAAGATATAAGTGAGATAAAGTAGTTAATTTCAAAAATGGTAAAATAAGAAGTTAGTTTAGCAATTCACTTAAATTTATGGGTCATTTTTGTAAGATTCCCTAAAAAAAATTCCAACATCGAGAACAACACTTATAAGTTGTATATTCCCACCAATTAAATTAATTCGTATAGCGTAAGACTTTTTTTTTAAGAACAACACTTTTAAGTAGTAGTACTAGTTTGTCGGCCTCTGTTCTCTGAATTCGTGCATTATCATCATTCACACAAGTTCCAAAGAAGAGAAACGGTCTAACGACACGCACTAAAGAATTCCATGAAGATAATGGAAGATCCTCTTTTATCGGCAGACAAGAAGTCAATCACTGGAAATCTAAAGCTTGCGCCGACATGGCGGATGGATTTCACGGCGGAGCTGAAGAACGTCAGCCGCATGGCCGCACCTATGGCCACCGTGACCGTTTCGCAGTTTCTTTTGCCTGTTATCTCGGTCATGGTCGCTGGCCACCGTGGCGAGCTCCAGCTCTCCGGCGTCGCTCTTGCCACCTCCTTCGCAAACGTCTCCGGCTTTAGCATCATGGTAACTAAATATCCTCCTTTCATACCAATTTCAAGATCCTACACAAGCTTGCGTAAGAGGGTTGTGCTTGGTTTTAAGTGTTAGCGAGTATGTTCAATTTTGATGATTTTTTATTCTAGTGGATTCGTTTATACACCTATTTCAAGATCCTACACGAGCTTGCGTAAGAAGGTTGTGCTTGGTTTACGTGTTTGCGAATATGTTAAATTCGCTTTCTTGTTCTTGTTCTAGTGGTTTCGTTTTTACACCAATTTCAAGATCCTACACGAGCTTGCGTAAGAAGTTTGTGCTTAATTTATGTGTAAACTGTAAAATTTGCTTTCTTGTTCTTGTTCTTGTTTTAGTGGATTTTTTTGGACGCGGTATCTTGAAACGCTAAGTTTAGTTTTGTGTAGTATGGTTTAGTAGGTGCACTTGAAACTCGTTGTGGACAAGCTTATGGAGCCAAACAATACGCCAAAATCGGAACTTTCACTTACTCGGCAATCGCCTCCAACGTACCCATATGTTTCGTCATTTCGATTCTCTGGATTTTCATGGACAAACTCTTAATTTCAATCGGACAAGACCCTGACATCTCTAAGCTAGCTGGATCCTATGTGGTATGGCTCATGCCCGCGTTGTACGCCCAAGCAATTTAACAACCTCTGACTCGGTTTCTCCAGACTCAGGGTTTGGTTCTACCTCTTCTTTACTGCTCCTTGACCACGCTTTTGTTCCATATATCCGTTTGCTGGACTCTTGTCTACACGTTTGGTCTCGGAAGCAATGGAGCCGCCTTGGCGATTAGTCTCTCTTACTGGTTTAACGTCTTCATTCTTGTCTGCTACCTGAGATTCTCGTGTTCTTGCGAGAAGACTCGCGGCTTTGTATCTGATGATTTCGTGTCGGGCGTCAAGCAGTTTTTTCATTATGGAATTCCATCAGCAGCAATGACTTGGTAAAACATTCATCTCCTTTGTCTTTTGTGCATTGTTGCTTTCTCTAGCTTGACTTGATTGTTGTTATGATGCAGCTTAGAATGGTGGTTGTTTAAGCTCCTTATATTGTCCTCTGGACTCCTCCCTAACCCGAAACTCTAGACCTCTGTTCTTTCTATTTGGTAATCTATCTTCCTCGTTCAATATCTCTCTCCCTTTTAAATTCGCAACCCTTATGGTTGTTGTTGCTTTGTTCATGACAGTCTTACAACAGGATCTCTACACTATGTCATTCCAATGGGTATCTCTGCTGCCGCGAGGTAAGGTTTTGGTAAATGTACAAAGTCCTTTTTTAGTACGTGCAAGTAGAGCATTCGAAGCAAAATTTTCCTTAAAAGAAAAGATCAACTATTTATAGAAATTAGTGTCCAATTTTTTTCAAATTTCTTTTATTATATTTAAAGTTTTTTTTTGGGAATTTTCATATTAGTCACACCTGTCGGTTTCTGTTTTACTTTGGCAGCACAAGGATTGCAAACGAATTAGGAGCCGGGAATCCCGAGGTTGCGAGGATGGCAGTGTTCGCTGGTATTTGTCTTTGGCTCATAGAGGCTACCATTTGTAGCACGGTTCTCTTCACATGCAGAAATATATTCTGTTAGAAGAAAAATGAGCACATTTGCCTAAAATGCTTTTTTTAACAGTAACCTAAGTCCATCAAGATTAGTAAGATTGCGCCGATTTATCTCGGATAAAAAGAAAATTCTTAAGGATAACCTTCGAAGTCCATAAACATTAGATCAACTTGAGGGATAAAGAAGAATTTCTATATTCTTCGAAGAATAAGAGATATTTCCTTTTCATCAAAGGCAAAAAGGAAAAAGAGTTCGGAGCAACCGACCTCCTATCTCTATAAATAAGAAGACTCCGAAGCCAAGAAGAACAACTCATACAATCTAGAGAGCAACAAAGCTAAAACCAGAGACTCTAACGCTTTCCAGTTTACTTCGGAAACATCTTACTTCACTTCGGCATAACCTCTCGATTATTCCATTCTTTGTAATCGCTTCGCTTATTGCTATCAATAAAAACTCTTATTCTCCGAAACCCACAATTGTTAATCAAAATCCTAGTGGTGATTTTCTGGTTCAACAGTTGGCGTCGTCTGTGGGGACTAGGAGAATAGAAATCTTAAAAAGCCGAAGCACTGAGTCTCCCGATCGATAAGAGCGACCTCATCCACAACAACGACGATACCACCACGCATACTGAGACGTCTGGTCTCGACGAACATGGTAACCCCACCAACGCGAATCCACACACGGGAGCACCCCCAGCTACTATCCTCGCCGCCGACCTTGTAGCAGCAATCCAGGCTGCCTTGCTCCCTCTCACACAAAACCTGGTGTCCAAGCTAGACACCCTTAAGTTCCAGCAAGCCAAATACGATGAGCAGCTCAGCGCCTTCACGGCCGCGACCACCGCGAGATCAGAACCGATCAGACGGCGACTAGTATTCAAGACACCAGAGCAAGACAACACTTGCGCCACAGCAACGGCTAATGAAGAACCGTCGGGCGAACTAAACTCCGAGATCGCAAGACTGCAGCAGTAGATTAACACAATCGGATCCCAAGTCCACCGTGCCACTAGCTCGGCGCCCGAAATCTCAGCCATCCTCTCGGACGCCGAACGCAATCCATTCGCCACGCGGATTACCAACGTCTGACTTGGAGAAGCGATCAAACTAAAGCTCTCATATTACAACGGGATGGAAGATCCAAACCTATGGCTAACCGGATTCAACGCCATGAATAGGCAATGGTTCGAGACTAACCTCGAACGCGAAACCAATCACTGCCAGACCTTCGTAGAGCACCTCAACAAAGACGTTCTAAAGTGGTTCTCCAACCTCCCGCCAGCATCGATAGAATCTTTTAAAGATTTGACCCATGCTTTTAAAAAACATTATTCCATGTTCATCACGTAGAGGACGGTCAACTTATCTACTCTAGTACAAGAACGCGACCAACCACTCCGCGATTTTATCAAGAAATTCAAGAATGCCGCCATGGCATACGGCCAGATCCCGCAAGCTTTAGCCATCGAAGCACTCATGAACGGCCTGTTGTTCGAGTCCCCCTTCAAGGAAGATCTACAGAAGAACCCGAAGGAAACCATAAAAGACGCACTCCACTGAGCTCAAATTTTCATACAAATTGAGGAAGAAAAAATTTTCTATGCCAAGAAGCATGGCGCAAACCCCACGAAGGATAAAGATCCCACGAGCAAAAGCAAGCCGTCCTCCCATGTCGTCGTGGCTACCAGAGAGAAGCCCTGGAATCAGTCGATCCGCGGCGATCCTCCAAGAAATTCAGACGATAGGGACGAAAATCACGATTTCTATTGCTCCTTCCACGGGCAAACAGGACACGCTACCTCGGCCTGTCGACACCTCCAGAACTCGTTGTATGAAAAATACAAGGAAGGCAAAATCGACGTGGGTGGCGATCGATCCCAGAACAAAAGCTCCTACTCCCGCAGCTCCAATACTAGGGACTCGCGCCGAAGCACCTCCAGCAAGGATCGCCGAGATCCAGGGAAAAGCAGCAGCCGAAGCGGTTCCGGAGGAAGACGCCGAAGTCGTTCACCCGAGAAAAAGCGTGAAGAAAAAAAGAAAGATAAAGGAGCAGAGCGCGACAACGATGAAGGCGAGCATGACAATTCATCCCCTCCGCCAAAGCGACGGGTAAACATGATCATGGGAGGACTCTCCGACTGCGATGATTCGGTTCGCGCCATCAAAGAATATGGCCGCAAAGCAATCGCTTCACAAAAATTCCCTCGTCCGGTGGACTACCACCCAACAATCACATTCACGTCGGAAGACATGCACGAGTTACACACCTCGCACAACGACCCACTAGTGGTCGAACTACACATCCACGATAGTGAGGTTGCTAAAATATTGGTGGATACCGGCAGCACTGTCAATATCATCTTTAAAGATACATTGACCAAGATGGGTCTCCAGAACAAAGACATCAAGGCAGCACCAAAGCCTTTGACTGGCTTTGCCAGCGAGTCCTTCTTCAGCCTCGGGACCATACAACTCACAGTCTACGTCGGCGGAGTGACAAAAATTGTCAAATTTACTGTCATGGATAAACCAGCAATCTACAATGCCATACTTGAGCAGACCTTGGATCCACGAGATGGAAGCTATCGTGTCGACCTACCATCAATGCATGAAGTTTGCTACTTCGGCCGGAGTTTTCACACTTCGCGGCAATCAGCAGATGACAAGATCTTGCTTTATTAGCGAACGCAAGGTGCGTCTCTCCGTGGCAAAAGCCTTTCAGGACGCCAAATAAGCGGAGTAGATTCAACAACTACTTTAATACTTAGTTTTCTTTCTTTTTCCTTCTCAATAAGAGCCGGCTTGGCTCCTGAGTGATACTGCCCATTCAATAATTGTAATGAACTACGAACGGCTTGATCCCAACTTGGGTACGTAGGCAACCTCCGAGTGCAGCTGTAAATTTAATAAATTTTTATTTCGGAAAATCAGCTCGGCGTGTAGAGTCATATTTTCTTATGCGAATGCATTTTGCTGAATCGATGTTCTGGCCAAACATTCGGTTCGAGAAAGCAAACACAACAAATAAAAACAGTGGCTGATCACCACTCCTTTGATACTTCGGTTCGATTTAATTGCTTCCGAAGTAGATAAGAAGAAAGCCGAGGACAATACTCGCACGACCCTCGATCATACCTTTCAGACCAAAGTGAATCCTGAAAACTTGGTATTCGATCTTGACCGTCGTTTGGTATAAGACGGACAAAGAAATCCCGCTTCCAGCTCCGAACTAAGAGTTCCATCACACAACAGAAACTTTATACTTCGGTACGCAGAAAAAAGCGAGAAGGGCAAAACAACATTCATTATAAAAAGCTCTTTCGGGAAAAGTTATTACAAAAAATAATAATAAAACAAAGACCTCGCAAGGGCCAATCAAATAAAAATGTATACAAATAAAAGCAGCTAGATGTGCGACGTCTCTTGACTCCCTTTATGCTCGCTTCAGCAGGCTGTCGATTTTCGATCTCCTCGCCAGTAATGACAATCTCGTCGATAGCATCACTGGTAGCCCGCCACTTAGCAAACTCCTTCTCAAAAGACGGAAGTGTCCCGGCGGGGAGTTCCCATCCTTTGTCCTGCATCTTCTTTAGAAACGCTACCATCGAGCGACTCTTCTCTACGCCCACAAGGGCTGCTACTACCTCTTCGCGCTGAACCAGTGAAGCCTGAATCCGATATAATCGTTTAAACCAAGCGATCATGCTATCGAAGATTCTGTCAGCAACACCTCGCGAAACCTCGTCATTAGACTCTTGAAGCTTTTTCTTTTCGGTGAGGAACCTTTGCGAATTTTCCTCGTTCTGCTTCTCAAGCAACTCATTCTGCGCACAGAGGGCAGCTACCTGCTTGCGAAGCCGGGAAGCTTCCGCCACCTCACCTTCGAAGGCTTCGATAGTACCTTTGAGCTGGGCGCACCTCTCCTTGAGAAGCTGATTCTCCTTTTCTGCCTTTTCAAGCTCCTCGATTTTGGCGCATGCAACGTCTAACATCACCGTTCTTCGCAATACTCATTGTCATATGTCGCGAACGCAGACATGTACTCGTCCAGGTCCTACACCATAGCTTACTATTAAGAAAAGCGTGCAACAAAACAAAATAAAGAACATAAAGAGAGATATGCATACCCAAGCTATCAAATGGCTTGCCGAAATATCGACTTCGCCAACTTCAGCTCTCGTAAAGGTTTGCCCCATCTCGGTTTCTCCCTGCACTTCCAGATCAATTTGGCAGCGAAGTCGCGATCAAGCATCGCCGGAGTAGCTCCATCCCACTTCACACTAAAGTGATTAGGGTTGTAATCGAAGAACTCCTCTTCCTGCTTGGGTTCGGCAGGATCATTTGGACCGGCACCATCGGTGCCCGAAGCATTTTGCGAGGGAGCAGCCTCCTCAGGAGCACTTGGACCGGCACCATCAGTGCCTGGAGCACCTTGAGAAGGAGTAGGTCCCTCAGAATGAACCGCAGCAGGCTCCTCGGTCCTTTTCCGACCTATATCTTTTGTATCTGGACCCCGGGACTCGAAAGAACGTCAGCCCAGGGTGGCGAGGGAACAACCTCGCAACAGCCCCCAGCAGCATCGGAAACACCCCCATCGCCATCACCTACGGCTCGGGAGGCAGTTTTCTGGGACGCTTCGCCTTGAGGACCCCTCGCAGCTTTCTCGGCCCGAGCCCGCCTCAATCTTTCCAGCGCGGCTGCCTTGGAGAAACTTCAAGAAAAGAAGAAAACGAAGTGTCAAAAACAAAAGATAACATCTCGGCAGGACAAAGTAAAATACGAAGTAAGAAAAGGAGTTTACCTCGCGAGAGTCTCATTCTCAACGGCCAGCTCGGCATCGTCATAATCCACCAAAAAAAGTGGATTCTGGGGAGTCGTCCTCCTTTTCTTCGCAGAGGAACTCGCGGGAGCATCTGCATTTGTTGACGAAGCCACCCTCCTCTTCTTTTGGCCAGCCCCTTCGGGCTTCGGCTGCGAAGTCCTTTTAGCGGCTGAAACACAAAAGTGTCAGTAAGACCTCGTCACCAAAGAAAAGGTACTAATTAAAGCTACTTCGATCTACTAACACACCTGCTTTCGCAGATCCGGCTATCTTCTTGGCCGGCTCCTTTTTCTCCTCAGCGGCCCCCTTCTTCTCCTTCTCGGGCCATAGCTGCCGGCTCAGGTTGCACAGCTTCATGACATCAACGTCAAAACCGAACGGGTTCGTCCCGAGATTTATGGCCACTAATATAACAAAACAAAAGGACGAGCACGTCAACACCCAGTAATTTTTTTAAAAAAGGGGAAAACATAAAGATTGATTCGTCTTACATGACGTCGACCTCCAAGTTCTAAATAAATTAAGCTTGGACCTGCCAATAAACGCCTCGTTAATCTTCACATATAAGAAAAACCGGTCCCATTCATGGACATTACTTGTCGGGTCCCCACCGATAATCCCCTCCTTCATCGCAGTATAAAAATTGCGCCACCCCCCGCGGTTCAGCCTCCCTTTCTTCAGAGTAGATATCCTCTCGAAGATATCCCAATTTAAAGGTACCATCGAGGTACGAGCTACCGCTGCCAGGCTATTGAATGGCGGATTACAGCATGAGAAAACTGCACCACTGGCATCTTCCTCTGTTCGCAGTAACGAAGAAGCAGCGAAATAGGGAACTGAAGGCCGAAGTCCGCGAAGTGGCATTCATAGATACAGAAATATTCCTCCGGCGGTGTAGAAGCTCTACTCCCTCAGGAAAGCAGCATTTCGAGCGAAGTTCCTGGAGTCTTTCTCCAGTCATCCAGGTCCTCCCATCCTTGATACCGGTCCTGTGCTTTGACATTGCGATCTTCTGCGGAAGACCGTCGATTTTACTCTCTGGCTCAAAGCCCTCCGGCTCGAAGTTATCTGATTTCATCTCGGAATCTATTTCAGGATGACCCGACAGGATGTCATCTCGGTAACCCGAGGATTCCCCGGTGTTAGAAGAAGAAGCCACTGGGCTAATCCACGCTCGCTTGGCACGATCGGCGAGACAAATCTAGTCATCGTCAAAAGAAGAATTCTGAGACGAAGTCGACATTTTCGGAAATTTCTGAATGGATTACAAAAGCAAATGGAAGATCGGCGAATAAGAAAGATTATCGCGAAACAGGAAGAAGTTAAGAGTTTTCTGAAGTAAGAAGACAAAGGGATATCTGAAGCAAGAAGACGAAGAGGTAAAAGTAAGCAATTAAATCAGAAGGAGATATCAACAGTTTCCTAAAGTGGCGTGTGTCAAGATTTTCACAATCTCGCCGCCTGGCGAACCCTTCGCCTTTTCCGCTTGAAAGCAAAACCCTAAATGGGTCAGAATATTTAATAAATTCCAAGGAAGCACCACGCGTCAAATCCACTAAAAGTCGGGCCGAGCTGGCCATCACGGAGAAACACTGTTGAGGGCTAAGGGGCTAACGCTTAATGCGAGATCAAACCTGCTTAAAACTTCATCAAGTCTGCCGACCTGATTTACAATCAGTCTCGCCGAACTGGGGGGGGGGACTTACTGTTAGAAGGGAAATGATCACATTTCCTAAAAGGTTTTCTCTAGCAGTAACCTAAGCCCATCAAGATTAGGAAGATTGTGCCGACCTAGCTCGGATAAAAGGAAAACTCTCAAGGGTAACCTTCGAAGTCTGGAAACATCGGATCAACTCGAGGGATAAAGGAAAATTTCCATATTCTTCGGAGAATAAGGAATATTTCTATATCGCAAATATGGAAATATTCATCAAAGGCAAAAAGAAAAAGGAGTTCGGAGCAACCGACCTCCTATCCCTATAAATAAGAAGACTCTGAAGCCAAGAAGAATAACTCATACAATCCAGGGAGCAGCAGAGCTAAAACCAGAGACTCCAACGCTTTCTAGTTTACTTCGCAAACATCTTACTTCACTTCGGCATAACCTCTCGGTTATTCCATTCTTTGTAACCGCTTCGCTTATTGCTATCAATAAAAGATCTTATTCTCCAAAACCCACAACTGTTAATCAAGACCCTAGTGTTGATTTTCTGGTTCAACATATTCGGTTACACGTTTAGCAACAGCGAAGAAATTGTGGATTATGTCACTGCTCTGTCTATCATTTATCGTCGTCGGGTTTTCTGCAGTTTTTGGTGGTAATAAGATAAAACACATCAACTAACAAAGATGAAGTCAATTAAAGAAGCCATCTTCGAGTCAAGTTGTGTTTTATATGTTTGGCTAGGTGTTGCTAGGGGAAGTGGGTGGCAAAATATTGGAGCTTGGGAAAATGTGGTGGCTTACTATCTTATTGGAGGTCCGGTTGGACTTTTCTTAGGATTTTGGTGTTTTATGAATGGTAAAGGGCTATGGATCGGTGTGGTCTTTGGGTCTACGACTCAAGGAATCATACTGGCTATAGTCACTGCTTGCATGAGTTGGAACGAACAGGTCAATTTCAAATCTCTTAAATTTTATACAGTTGATGATTTTTTTGTGTTTTATCTGCTAAATTTTCTTGCTTCTATCTTGAATATGGCAGGCTACCAAGGCAAGAAAAAGAATAGTTGCAAGGACTTCTTCGTTTGGCAATGAATTTGCTTGAAGGGTTCTTCCATTTGTTTTATTTTTTTTGGTCAAACTAGTAGTTCTATGTTAAATAGATAGTGATTATCCATTTGCTTTTGTTTTTATACATTAGTATATTAAAAGATAATGTTTATCCATAAGTTTTAGATAATGCTTATCCATATGTTATGGATAATGCTTATCTATATGTTTTGTCTTTATAAATTAGCTTACTTCACTATGAAGTAAGATTTTTCCTATAAATAGGTGATTTCATTCTTTGTAAAATCATAAGTTCAGAAGAAGAAATAAATAAAGTTCTTATGTTCATCTTTCTCTCTTTCTCTCTGAAGTTCAAAAGATCTTAAACTCTTCTTTGCTTTTCTTTATAAAGCATTAGTTTACAACACGTTATCAGCACGAACGTCTCTTGATCTATATCCGGGAATTAGATCTATACCAGAAAGGTAAAATTTATTTTGGTTCAATTTATTTTAAATTTTTTATTCTCCGTTTATATATGTCGGGATGGTAGGCGATGCCTCCTCCGAGCTGATCGTTATGGTAGGCGCTGCCTCCACGATCAAATAATTATATTGTTTATTATGTCGGGATGGTAGGCTTTGCCTCCTCCGAGCAGATTGTTATGGTAGGCTATGCCTTCACGATCTAAATGATCACATGGTAGTCTATGTCTCCTCGGATCATTGAGTGGGAGATTAAAACTTCCATCTTTATTTATTTGTTTATTCATTTAATTTATTTATTTATTTATTGTGTGGGTGATTAAAACTCCTCATATTTGTTCATTTATTTATTTATGCAATCGGCAATTGTATGGTAGGCTCTGCCTCCTCATATTACTTTTAATTATTGTCTTTTATTATGCCGTTACTATGCTCAAATTTTTAATCTAACAAATTAAGCTTTTGTTATTGAGTAATAATTTGTCAAAGCTCGAGATCGCCACCCTTGACTTGTATGAAAAAAAATAATATGTCTTGGGCGGTAGGTGCAAAGTTGCATCTAGAGTGAAATGATCTCTTGAGCACTATCGATATGTCGGAAATGATATTCGATGAAATAAGGCAAATATCATAATCTTTTTACGCCAACATATCCATGATGGTTTAAATGATAAATCCATCACGAGTAAAGATCCTGAAGATCTTGAGAAATAAGTGGTTGAATCTCCAGGCGAGAGAATTCACTCAAAGCTCGGAGTTGATATAAATCCTCCTGGTAGCTTAATAATATAATAAACTCGTGATGAGAAACCATCAGTTTTTTTCCAAGTAAATTAACTCCATTCCTAGGGGAGAATGTTGAGTAATCCACTTAGAGTAAGTGTGATGGACAAATTCAATGAAAAAAAGGGATGATGGTTGGGACGTTGAAAGACAAAAGCTTAATGGTTTTGATGTATTATATGCTTTTGCTTTAGATGCTTTTGCTGTAGGTTCTATTGTACCATAAGCAGTATTCCCAGGTATGTGTTTAATACTTATACATGAATCTTTTATGAATATTTTAAATTCAGAAAATATCAGAATTTGAGACTATGGATGGAGATACTTGTCTAGCAGACAGTGCTACGACACATACAATCCTTCGGGATAAAAAGTATTTCTCCTGTCTCAAAATGAAAGTCTCCGCTGGAAGCGTGAGTATTATAACTGGTATTGCAAAGATTATACTAGGCTCCGGAAGAGCAAGTTTTTCATTGCCAAGGGGTACAGAGTTTGTAGTGCAAGATGCATTATACTCCCCCGAGTCTCAACAGAACTTATTAAGTTTTCGAGATATCCGCAGAAATGGATATCATATTGAGACTATTAATAAGAATGGCATTGAATATCTTTGCATTACATCAGAGAGGAAACATATATTAGAAGAATTGAAAATGTTATCCTCTGGATTATATTGCACAAAAATAAACATGACTGAATCATATATTACAGTAAACCAGAAGTTTACTAGTACATTTAAAGTTTGGCATGAAAGGTTAGGCCATCCTGGTTCAGTCATGATGAGAAAAATTGTGCAAAATTCTAATGGCCATCCGTTGAAAAACGGGAAAATATTACAAATGGGTGAGTTTTTATGTAATGCTTGTTCTCAAGGAAAACTCGTAACTCGGCCATCACCAGCCAAAGTTGGGAATGAATCACCAGAATTTTTAGAAAGAATACATGGTGATATATGTGGGCCGATCCACCCACAATGCGGGCCGTTTAAATATTTCATGGTTTTGATTGACGCATCTAATAGATGGTCACATGTGTGTCTATTGACCACACGAAATACGGCTTTCGCTAAATTCATTACCCAAATAATCAGGTTGAGAGCGCAATTCCCTGATTATGTTATAAAGAAAGTAAGGCTGGATAACGCTGGTGAATTCACTTCACAAGTGTTTAGTGATTATTGTATGTCATTGGGAATCGATGTTGAGCATCCGGTTCCGCATGTTCATACACAAAATGGCATGGCTGAGTCATTAATTAAACGGTTTCAATGGATTGCAAGGCCGTTGATATTGAGAACAAGGCTCCCAATTAATGTATGGGGACATGCTATTTTGCATGCAGCAGCCCTGATCCAGATACGGCCAAGTGCATATAATGAGTATTCTCCATTACAATTGGTATCTGGACAGGAGCCAAATATATCCCATCTTCGTGTGTTTGGGTGTGCGGTCTATGTCCCTATAGGGCCACCCCAAAGAACAAAAATGAGACCACAAAGAAGATTGGGAATATACATCGGTTATACGTCACCGAGTATAATCATGTATCTTGAACCAGTAACTGGTGATATGTTTACGGCCCGTTTGGCCGATTGCCATTTTAATGAAGATGAATTCCCCGCGTTAGGGGGAGGATTGAGAGAATCACCAAAAGATATCACTTGGTGTACAAAATCTTTGGCTTATCTTGATCCTCCTACCAATCAACGTGAGATGGAAGTTCAGAAAATTGTACATATGCAAAATATGGCAAACCAGTTACCAGATGCGTTCACAGATACAAAGAGGGTGACAAAATCATATATCCCTGCAGCAAATGTTCCATCCAGAATTAGTGTTCCTGAAGAACACATTGATGGGAACATATCAAATGAACCTAGGGTTTAGTTAAAGAGGGGGGGACCGATGGGTTCTAAAGATAAAATTTTCCGAAAGAAAAAGAATATGGGAGAAGAAAGTAAAAAGGTTCTAGAGGAACCATTTAAAAAAATGTCCTGAAGACATTTGTGAAAAGGTTCTAGAAGAACCAGATAAAGAGATTCGTCTTGGAGACGAATGTGAAACAGAAAAATATGAGATTTCCATCAATTACGCCCAAAATGGAGAATTATGGATCAGAGATAAGATAAAAGATATTGATGGAATATTCTATTTTCTGTATATAAAGAGCTTGAAAGCGATGATCCAGATCCAAGGTCCATATTAGAATGTCAGAAAAGACATGATTGGGAGAAATGGAAAGTGGCCTATTGTCACAACACCAGAGCATGTAATGCCCGTTGGATACAAATGGGTGTTTGTAAGAAAAAGAAATGAGAAAAATGAGGTCACAAGGTATAAAGCGAGGCTTGTGGCTCAAGGTTTTTCACAAAGACCAGGAATTGATTATGAGGAAACATATTCCCCGGTAATGGATGCAATAACTTTCAGATTCTTAATGAGTCTAGCAGCATCCATAAATTTAGACATGTATCTGATGGATATTGTGACAGCATATTTATATGGATCACTGGAGAATGATATATATATGAAAATCCCTGAGGGATTAAAAATGCCGGAAGCATTAAGATCAACATCTAAAGAGATATGTGCGATCAAGTTACAGCGATCACTTTACGGATTAAAACAATCCGGACGCATGTGGTATAATCGCTTAAGTGAATATTTGTTGAGTAAAAGTTACGTCAACAATGTGATATGCCCTTGTGTGTTTATTAAGAAATCAACATCTGGATTTGTGATCATTGCTGTTTATGTTGATGACCTGAATATAATCGGAACTCGAAAAGAGATTGATGATGCAAGAACTCATATGAAAGAAGAGTTCGAAATGAAAGATCTTGGAAAGACAAAGTTTTGTCTTGGACTCCAGATAGAGCATTTCCAAGATGGTATATTTGTGCATCAATCAAATTATACGAAAAGGATCTTGAAACGCTTTAGTATGGATAAAGCGACTCCTTTGAGTTTTCCGATGGTCAAGAGATCGCTCGATGTTGATAAGGATCCATTTCGGCCATGTGATGATAGCGAAGAAATATTAGGTCCTGAAGTACCTTATATGAGCGCTATCGGTGGGCTTATGTATCTTGCAAATTGTACTAGACCTGATATAGCTTTTGCTACTAATTTACTTGCAAGATACAGCTCATCTCCTACACGCCGACATTGGAACAGAATAAAACATATATTCCGTTATTTACAAGGTACCATTAAATTTGGTTTATTTTATTCTCGAAACCCCGAGTTTGGTATGGTTGGTTTTGCAGATGCAGGATATTTATCAGATCCGCATAAGGCTAGATCGCAAACTGGATATGTTTTTACAATCGGAAGAACTGCGATCTCTTGGCGTTCCCAAAAGCAAACTTTGGTTGCAACGTCTTCGAATTATGCAGAAATTATTGCATTACATGAAGCTTGTAGGGAATGCGTGTGGCTCAGATCAATTATTCATCATATACAAGATGCAAGCGGAATAGAGATAAATAATGAGCCAACAAAAATACTTGAAGATAGTGTTGCATGTGTCGCTCAGCTTAAGGAAGGTTATATCAAAAGTGATAGAACGAAACATATCCCTCCAAGATTTTTCTCTTACACAAAGGAGCTCGAGAAAAATCAAGAAGTGGACATTCAATATGTTCGTTCATGCGACAATGCAGCTGATCTATTTACGAAGGCACTTCTCACTACAATATTCAGAAAACATGTTCACAACATCGGAATGCGTCATCTCCGAGATCTATGAAAAAAAGATTATATCTATCATTTCCAGGGGGAGCGCTACTGCACTCTTTTTCCCTCATCATGGCTTTTATCCCAAATGGGTTTTTCCATAATAAGATTTTTAACGAAGCAATATATAATACATCATTAGTGATGGATAATCAAGGGGGAGTGTTAAATAGATAGTGATTATCCATTTGCTTTTATCTTTATACATTAATATATTAAAAAATAATGTTTATTCATAAGTTTTAGATAATGCTTATCCATATGTTATGGATAATGTTTATCTATATGTTTTGTTTTTATGGATTAGCTTACTTCACTATAAAATAAGATTTTTTCTATAAATAAATGATTTCATTCTTTATAAAATCATAAGTTCAGAAGAAAAAAGAAATAAAATTCTTATGTTTATTTTTTTCTCTTTCTCTCTGAAGTTCAAAAAATCTTAAACTCTTCTTTGCTTTTCTTTATAAAACATTAGTTTATAATATTTTATATTTTATTTTCTGTTTTAGTAACTGAAAAGTCGATAATTTTGGGTGACTTTGGAAAATCTATAATTTTATAACATAAATTGGATATTTCCGACAAGGCGACAACTAGTATTCATATTACTACTATATTGTCTCTTTTAGCTAAAGTTTATGATATTTTCGAACAAGTCAAAACGAAATTTGCTATCCTATTACACCTCTTAGGTTTGTGATTGTCTGTCTAGTTGCCTTTGTTGTTTAGTCGTTGGTAAGGAACGTGATCCACACGAGTATTATCATGTCTTTTTTATGCATATCATGTCTTATATAAAAAGGGATTTCAACTTTATCATGTCTTTTTGCATGCATTTCTTTACAATAATGATTATTCATTATACACTATTTATGGAGATCATAATCCTTAGGTTTTATGTCTACATGAATGCGACACAAATTAATCTTTTTGTCTTTCACACAAGTTAATCTAGTATTTAATACTAAATAGATTTCTTCCTCAAAACACATATCAGCAAATTCTAATTAACTTTCTATCTCTATCGATAGAGATACTTCTACATGAGTCACGGACCTAAAAGTAATGTAAATCCAACATTGTATCCCACCGATTTACAAAAAGAAACAAATATTATATTCCCATACTATACAAAAACAAACTTCTTCATTGACTCATTGACATTGACATGACATTGGTTTCTGCTGTATATAAAGATTCCATATAATCTGAAATCTAAGGCAAGTCCTTCAACACTAGGAAGAGGACAATGGAAGAGCCATTTCTTCGGAGAGACGAGGAGTTAGTCCCCGAAGCAAAGACATGGCAAAGAAGTCAGCTCACCGTCGAGCTGAAGAAAGTGAGCCGCTTGGCCGCTCCTATGGCCACCGTCACCTTTTCTCAGTACCTTTTACCTGTCATCTCAGTCATGGTCGCTGGCCACAATGGCGAGCTCAAGCTCTCCGGCGTCGCTCTTGCCACCTCCTTCACAAACGTCTCCGGTTTCAGCATTATGGTAATAACTATGCTTAGACTCTCTCCTCTTTAATTCAAGAATCCAATTGATTTTCAAATCTTTAAAACGCTTTGTGTAGTGTGGATTAGTGGGTGCTTTGGAGACTCTTTGTGGCCAAGCTTTTGGAGCCAAACAATACGAAAAAATTGGAACCTACACATACTCTGCAGTTGCCTCCAACATCTCAATTTGTTTCTTTATATCAATTCTTTGGATTTACATCGACAAGCTCTTGATCTCACTCGGACAAGACCCTGAAATCTCCAGAGTAGCAGGCTCCTACGCCGTTTGGCTCATACCGGCTTTGTTCGGCCAAGCAATTGTCATACCGCTGACCCGGTTTCTACAGACACAAGGGTTGGTTCTTCCTCTTCTTTATACTGTCGTGACCACCCTTTTGTTCCATATCGTGGTTTGCTGGATTTTGGTTTCTGTGTTTGGTATGGGAAGCAATGGAGCTGCTTTGGCTATTAGTTTGTCTTTCTGGCTTTATGCTTTGATACTCGCTTGCTATGTGAGATTCTCCAGCTCTTGCGAGAAGACTCGCGGCTTTGTATCTGCTGATTTTGTGTCTTGTGTCAAGCAATTCTTCCATTACGGAATCCCATCAGCAGCAATGACTTGGTAAGTCATTTTTATGTTTCTTGTTGGTCAAGTTAAGCAATGAGTTACACACAGACTATAGCACTTCCTCTTATATATCTCGCTTGCATTTTTTTTTTCATAGTCTAGAATGGTGGCTATTTGAGCTACTCATTCTCTGCTCAGGTCTTCTCCCTAACCCTAAACTAGAGACCTCTGTTCTTTCGATATGGTAAGTATCATATAGAGAGACTTCATCTTTTAGTATCTTTTGCTTTCTCTTTACGAATACGTACTAACCCGATTTATTTATTTCAGTCTTACAATCGAAACTTTGCACTATGTGCTTGCAGCTGGAATCGGCGCGTCTGTGAGGTATGATTTCAATCCTCAAACCAAAATTAATCATCTTCAATAATTTCGATTTTCTTAACATTTGTAATTAGTTTCTTGCAGCACACGCGTGTCAAACAATTTGGGAGCTGGGAATCCTCAAGTTGCTAGGGTATCAGTATTAGCAGGGCTTTGTCTCTGGCTGATAGAGTCCGCTTTCTTCAGCACACTTCTCTTCACCTGCAGGCACATCGTTGGCTACGCATTCAGCAATAGCAAAGAAGTTGTGGACTATGTCGCGGACCTATCTCCTTTGCTCTGTCTCTCCTTCGTCCTCGACGGATTTACGGTAGTACTTAATGGGGTTGCTAGGGGAAGTGGATGGCAACACATTGGAGCTTGGAACAACGTGGTGTCTTATTATTTCGTAGGAGCTCCTGCTGGACTTTACTTAGCTTTCAGTCGTGAGTTCAACGGAAAAGGATTATGGTGCGGTGTGGTGGTTGGATCTTCTGTCCAAGCCACTATACTTGCTATCGTCACAGCATCCATGAATTGGAAAGAACAGGTTAATACTTAGAACAGGTTTTACGATCTATTTTGTTTTTTATGTAAAAGTAATTGGAATTTATGATTTGTAGGCTGAGAAAGCGAGGAAGAGAATAGTCTCAACTGAAAATTGACATAAACGAAGGGTGTTTCTTAATTAGTCAATTAGTCAAGGGTTTTTTTTTTTCAATTTTGGTATACAAATGTAACAGTTCCATAGTCAACAAATGAATAAAAACCTCACTGTTTCCAAATTTTTACGTTAAAGTGTAACTATCGAGTTATTTTTGCAGAGACGAATTGGAATAAAGTAAATATCTCACACAATTGTGCTCTAAATTCCCGTATCTTACAAGATAACTAAATGATTATATTTTTCAAAAAACTAAAGGATAATAAAAAAAAGATTACAGGGAGACATAATATTAGAGACGTAATGATGATATTTGTATTGAAAAGTGGATGGATCTTCTGAACAAAGTCTTTGCCATGTAGGCATGTAACATGATAATAGAATTACCACCAGTTTTTTGTTGGTCGTATGCAATATTATATCATTACAAATTATGAGAACAGTTAGAGATAGACAAATAATATATTTTCAGTAGGATTTACGACAACTCCCACGATAATCAATACTATGACACACGCCTACTAACAGGTAACCGTGTAGGGATAATGGGATTGGGCCGTTGGTTGTTCAACTCTTTCGGCTTGCAATCAGTGGATGGACTATGGAAGGAAATGGATCGAGATGGAGCTCAAACAAAGAGTTGTACCACTCTATTTGTAAGAACTAAAGGATGAGATGAATAGAGGGATGGAACGAAAGTCGCCACAAGGCTTTATGGATCTAAGCCTTGATAAGACAAAGAACTCTCAAGCAATGAATCACACAAAGCTTTAGAGAACAAGAGTTTGATACTTAGCCAAGAAGTTCGATCTTTATTGATATGGTGAAAGAATACACGGCTGTGAGGGGACTTTATAAACAGTCCAAACAGCTTTGCCCTTCTAGGGGACTTGAAACAGATTACAAAACCCTTAGGTTAAACTACTTGGCTAACAATGCCTTAAAACGAAAATGTAAATAAAAGGTGGCCAACATGCCTTATACTAAAGTTTAAATGAAATAAAAACTAAACCAAGAAAACAAAACAGAAAAGATTGATTAGTAGAACTAAACCATATGGAAATTAAGGATTCGGATCATACCTTGGTTTAGGTCCAAATGAGGCGGTTTACTTAGCTGACGTGATGGTGAATAAGGAAACTCCTTTGTTGGCATGAATCAATGGCCAGTCACGTGTATAACCTATGCTTTTGATGAGAGGGTCGTTGGTGATGTCTAAACCGCCTGCTTGCTCGTTGGGAAGGTCTTCTTGCTCAATGCCCTCCTTGTCTAGATAAGCCCTTGCCATTGCTGCTTCCTTGGCGATGCTTAGTTGACTTAGTTGAGTAGTGATATCTTCTAAGTGTTGGGAAGTGATCAGCGTCTCTACTGCTTGGTTGAAGCCATCAGCTAAGTCTTTAGTTCCTGATCTTGTTCTTGGAGCTTGTCTCATGGTAGGGATGTCAGCTTCAGCTCCTAAGTTTGTATCATCCTCTCCCCCTTGGAAAGGTTCTGTCCTCAGAACTGATTCACCTACATCAAACGGCAGCAAGTCAGATACATTGAAAGTATTAGAAATGTTAAACTCACCTGGAAGTTCAATCTGATATGCATTGTCATTGATCTGCTTGAGGACTTTGAATGGGCCATCTCCTCTCGGTAACAGCTTAGACTTCCTCTGAACTGGAAACCTCTCGGTTCTCATGTGCAGCCACACCCAATTGCCTGGTTCAAAGGTGACTTCTCGGCGACCCTTATCAGCATTCTTCTTGTAGTGCTCATTCCTCTTCTCTATGTTCTCCTTGACCTTCTTGAACATAGTCTTCATCAGCTCGGCCTTACTAACTCCATCTTGACTCACTTGTTGCACCGGTGGTAAAGGAGTAAGATCTAAAGGAGCAATGGGTCTAAAACCATAGACAATCTCAAAGGGTGAAAGCTTAGTAGCCGAGTGGGGGACTCTATTATAAGCAAACTCAATGAAAGGTAAACAGTCTAGCCAATTCTTTAAATTTTTTACCAACCGTAGCCCTTAAGAGGGTGGAGAGTGTACGGTTGACTGCTTCAGTCTGTCCATCGGTTTGGGGGTGACAAGTTGTTGAGAAGAGAAGCTTAGTTCCCAGCTTCCTCCACACGGTTCTCCAAAAGTGGCTCAAGAACTTGGTGTCTCGGTCAGAAACAATGGTTCTTGGAAGTCCATGAATCCTCACCACCTCCTTAAAGAACAAATCAGCAATCTGAGTAGCATCATTAGTCTTGGCACATGGGATGAAAATGCGCCATTTTAGAGAAACGGTCCACCACTACAAAGATTGAATCCTTGTTTCTGATCTTTGGTAAGCCTAAAACAAAATCCATAGAAATGTCTACCCATGGTAGGTCAGGTATAGGTAAAGGAATGTATAAGCCGTGGGGATGCAGCCTGGATTTTGCTTTCAAGCAAGTGATGCACTTGGAGCAGAACCTCTCAACGTCACGTCTAAGGTGAGGCCAAAAGAAGTGCTCCTTGACGATGCTAAGTGTCTTGTCCATCCCAAAATGCCCCATGAGGCCTCCACCGTGTGCCTCCCTTATGATGAGTTCCCTAACCGAGCTTTGAGGTAAGCATAGCCGGCGGTCCTTGAATAGAAAGTCATCATGCCTGTAAAAAAAACCAAACACTCCTCGGCTACATTGGCTATAAAGCTCCTTGAAGTCAGGGTCCTCTCCGTACAGTTGCTTGAGATGCTCAAACCCCATGATCTTAGCCTCCATTGTTGAGATGAGGGTGTGTCTCCTTGATAAAGCATCCGCTACAACATTCTCCTTTCCCTTCTTGTATTTGATTACATAGGGAAATGTCTCTATGAACTCAAGCCATCTAGCATGCCTCTTCTTCAAAGTAGTTTGGCCTCTCAAGTACTTGAGAGTCTCATGATCTGTATGAATAACAAACTCTTTAGATAAAAGGTAATGCTGCCAAGTTTCAAGAGATCTTACTAGAGCATATAGTTCTTTGTCATAGGTAGGGTAGTTAAGAGTTGCTCCATTGAGCTTTTCACTGAAGAAAGCCACGGGTCTCCCTCCTTGAGTGAGAACAGCTCCGATTCCTGTCCCTGATGCATCACATTCAACTTCAAACATTTGGTTAAAGTTAGGTAATGCCAAAACAGGCGCCTGTGTAAGGCTATCCTTAAGCCTTTGAAATGCTAGCTCCTGTGCCTCTCCCCATGAGAATGCTACATTTTTCTTGATCACCGAGGTTAAGGGGGCGGCTATGGTACTGAAATCCTTCACGAATCGCCTATAGAAGCTGGCTAGACCGTGGAAACTCCGGACATGACCAATGGTGGAAGGGGTTGGCCACTCCTGAATCGCCTTGATCTTCTCTTCATCCACTTTTAGCCCCTGTGAACTTACTACAAAGCCTAAAAACACTAACTGATCAGTGCAAAAGGTACATTTCTTTAGGTTTGCATATAAGCCCTCTAACCTTAAGGTTTCTAGCACCTGCTCAATGTGTTTAAGATGATCATCTAAGCTAGAGCTATAGATCAGAATGTCATCAAAATACACAACTACTGACTTACAGATGTATGCCCGCAGTACATGGTTCATGAGCCTCATAAAGGTGCTTGGTGCATTGGTGAGACCGAAAGGCATGACCAGCCACTCATATAACCCTCTCTTGGTCTTGAATGCTGTCTTCCATTCGTCTCCCTCCTTCATTCTGACTTGGTGGTAGCCACTCTTGAGATCAACCTTTGAAAATATGGTAGCTCCACTCAACTCATCCAGCATGTCATCTAACCGGGGAATGGGGTGCCTATACTTGATGGTGATGTTGTTTATGGCTCGGCAGTCTACACACATCCTCCATGTTCCGTCCTTCTTTGGCACTAACAAGACCGGTACAGCGCAAGGACTTAAGCTTTCTCGGATGTATCCTTTGGACATAAGCTCCTGAACTTGTGCTTCTAGCTCCTTTGCTTCCTCCGGGTTAACTCTATAAGCTGGCCGGTTGGGTAAAGGTGCTCCGGGTATAAGGTCTATCTGGTGCTCAATGCCTCGGATGGGTGGTAAACCAGCTGGTATCTCCTCAGGGAAGACATCTTTGAACTTCTCCAAAAGCTCATTCATCTCGGCGGGTAAAAACAGTCTCCTCTTGACCTGAAAACAACCCTTCTCTAAAGATCATTAGTAGCACCTGCGTTTTGGATTCTAAAGCCTTTAAAACATTACTAGGAGTAACATAAAGGCTAGTTTTACTTACCTTAGCCCCTTTGTCCATAGCCTTTTGGAGATTAAAGACTTCTTGGGGTGTAAGTGGAGAAAGGTTATGCTTCTTCTTGTTGTGAGAGAAGCTGTAGAAGTTGGTACGGCCATTGTGTATCGTCTCCTTGTCAAACTGCCATGGTCTACCAAGCAGAATGTGGCCTGCTTGCATGGGAACTACGTCACATAAAACCTGATCCTCGTACTGGCCAATGCTGAATGGTACTAACACTTGCTCTCCTATCTTTAGCTCTGTCTCGTCATTCAGCCATTTGAGTCTGTAGGGCCTCGGGTGCTTTGTCTTCTGGAGACCTAGCTTATCTACAAGATACTTACTAGCCACGTTAGTACACGAACCACCATCTATAATGAGACTACATACCTTGGTGTTCACGGTACAGCGTGTATGGAAGATGTTCTCTCTCTGAATGGTTTCTGGATCAAACATGGCACTGAGAATTCTCCGGGTCACTAGTAGCTCTCCCTCGTCAGGAAAATCAGTCACTTCTTCCTCTGATTCATCAAACTTGGCCTCGGCTTCATCTTGGGATTCATACTCGCCATCCTCCTTGAGTAGCATCACCCGTTGATTTGGACATCCCCTAGCGTAATGGCCTCTTCCTTGGCACTTGAAGCATGTAACATCTCTAGCTCGCTGGTTTTGGGGCTTGCTTGACTCACCAGCAGCTGCCTTAGACGTCTCTACAACCGGCTTCTTGTACTTGGAAGCTGCTTCTGGTGCTTTGCCTCTATCAAAGGCTCTCGGCTGTGAACTCCAAGTGGGCTTAGCTCTAGCAGTAGAGGCTGACTTCCTCTTGACGTGTTGCTCGGCTTGTACAGCCAAGTGTAGGAGCTCATCAAGGTCTCGGTAAGTAGTCCTCTCCACCTTTCTTGCTATCCGGTCATGTAACCCATCAATGAACTGCGCCATAAGGGTTTCTTCTGTCTCG